GTCAAGTAAAATAGATCATGGTGCCTTCCTGAATTAAATATCCTTATGTCAGGTTAGATAATTGTTAAATTTAGTTGTTTCTTCATTATGCCACCTGAGAATTTGCATTTTATAGCCCGATTACTAGAAGCTCCGAGAATGTATTCTCAGAAAAATAATATTTACACGTATATATTATCTGAAGTTCTTATTATTTTTTCTTTAAATGTGCTTAACAGAGCACTTACATAAATGTGAAAACTAATCGTAACATCTATTTAGTTGAGCTAATGATGAGTAAACAAGGAAAAGGAACTTCACTGTTTAGAATTTTATTGCTTTACAGCACGAATCTAAGATTTAATAATTGAGGGTGACCATTTACTATTTTTAGCAGGTAGTTTTTAAAGAAACGGACGTAATATGCATAATATATATATACATATATCAATAAAGCATGTATGGCACGCACATTTAGACGACGAATCTCTAGACCATGCTCCAGACTGTGAAAGGCTTAGAATTGTTTGCGATGCTTTTGAACTTTCAAACGCTTAATCACTTCCAATTACTGTTTTAAAATGTAGAGACGTCCAGAAAAAAAACACGAGTTATAGAAATTAATACAATTGCGACAGAATAGATAATTGTATTGTCAGAGATTCACAGCTCTCCCCAAATGTACCTTTTAGCATCTGCAACTTTGCGACGTATCACCAGGATCGGTGGTACACTAGTGGTGGAGGGGTAGCTTCCTGATTAAACATAGCATTCAACGCCATTTAATAGCATTACGGCTGCCCGAGGAATCGATGCGGTTGATATTACTTTTAAGCTGCCTAGACAGGGCCCCGTGACTGTGATTTGCAATCTTTTAATTTTTCCCTGCCAATTATTAACGTTGTTCAATTTTTACGCTCTATTAGTCCATGACTTTCCGGCAATCCTAAGAGGAGGATGTAACTTTAAACATCCTGCGTGGAACAGTCGGATCGCGAACCAGAACGGCTACATCCTTGAAGCTTACGCTGACATTAATGCCGTATGTATTAAAGAATTCTTTTATCTTTCTTAATATACCACAAAAAAATAGCGTGCTATTCATGTGTAAAGAGTAATGTTTAACTTTATTCAATTAATAGCAACCGTTCAAATTTCTGCTAGCGGTCTTAACTGGTGACACTATACATAAAAGCTGGTTTATGCTTTCTTTGTCATAGGCAAAATTACTATTTTGTCCTTATCACACAGTTGCCCAACACTAATCAGGTATTCTGATGCCGTGGGTATATAGTGCCTACTTAATATCATTTTTTGCTACGCCCAAGGCCGGTATATAACTTTTTCTACCCATAGTTCCATTATTGTGTCGGAAATCCATTATAATTCTCAAGTCAATAAGTGTTTGGCAGTTAGCACCCAATCCAAGTTAATTTCACTTGAACTTTTTAAACTTGTGAGATTCTGCTTAAAAGTCCTCTCTCAATATCTTGATTTCTTCTATGTTTTGTAATATTCCCAGCCCTTCCACATTTGAAACATTTAAATTTTCTCGTAATCTCTGCTGTTGTCTCTTTACTTCCCGTGCTACTAGTAGTTCTATCGTCCTTTTTCTTAAAAGACAGTTTGACAAGCCCAAGGCTACATCATCATGTACCACATACTTTTGTTGAGCTGTACTTTTCCATGAAAACGTAGCATCAACTTTGTTCAAATCTATTTTCACAGTTGGCTAATACGTCGATTAAATGTCTCGGGTCCCCTCTTAAAGAGTACCTGTATCAGTCTCTGTTAGTACCAACCTTCAAATGATACATGTCAAACTTTATTAACGTTTTGTATCCCAGCCAACGAGGTATAATGAAATTATAGTGGCGTTATCTTTATTATTTTCCTAATAGTGAACAAATTTCATGTGTCAGCATTAGCTTAGAAAAGAGTTTAGGGAATCCGTACCTCGTAGAAAACGATTTGTCGGTGATTTACTGAGGTAAAAATAGGCCCTTCGCGCACAAAGGATGCTGAACGCCCAAATAAGGCGGTTACTCCAAAAAAATCAAAAAAATCCACTAAAAAACTGCCGTTGGTGAACATAAAGTAAGGTTGCGAAAGTTAGCTGACTTCGCAAAGATACCAACGGGATGTATGCGCTATATTTCCCAAAAACATTTGGGTATGAGAAAACCTTGTTCGTAATGGGTACCGATTTTGCTCACAGTGAACCTGATACAGCAACGTGTTGATGATTTAGAACGCTATTTTAGAGCTGTTTAAGCGGATTAAAAAAGATATTTTTATGCGATATGCGTAAATGGCTAAAACCCGGATTTCATCATTACACTCCAGAGCTAAATAGGCTGTCAACTGAGTGGAAAGCAAAAGGTGAAAGGCGCTCAAAGGACCAAAAAAGCAAATGTCTGCCGGAAAGTTTATGGCCTCCGCTGGGATGCACATGCTATAATAATCATCGACTATGAATAACGAATATTATATAGCAATTTTGGTTCGATTAAAGGATGAAATTACTCAAAAATGTTCCCAGATGGCGGGAAAAAAAATGCTCTTTTATTAAGACAATGGCACCGTCTCAAAAGTTCATGGTTACGATGGTAAAATTGCATGAACTGAAGCTCGGTTTAATTCCGCACCTACCGTACTCTCCAAATCTCTCCTTCGGCAAATTTTAGCTCTTTGCAGACGGCAATTAAATGCTCTAAAGAAAGAGATTTGGGGCCAAGGAAGGAGTCCTCGTCAAAAGAGGGACCTGTATTAAGGGCACATACAAGTCTTCTATGGAAGGTGTAGAAATGCTGTAAAGCGTTGGAATGATTGTATCGTTATGAAAGAGATATATTAAATTATAAGGTTGTATTCTGCCAAATAATTTTGGTTTATTAGTTAGTCCTGGGACTTTTCAGGCGAAGTGGTATACATAGTATATCTATGAGCCCCATACACGACTTTTTGGTGTAGTTCGAATTAAATATATTTTTGTCTTTCCTAATAATAAATTTTGAACTTTTTATATCTTGATTTATTACTAAACCTCCTACAGACAAGTTAACCGAGTTTTGTAAATAACTCAAAAAATTGTACTTGAAAAAGAAGAAAGACTAAGCTCGTTGTATTTATAGGTTTCAAGATAGTGGTTAGTATAAATTAAGTTAAAAAAATGACAAATTTCTGTAAAAATAAGTTAATACTTTTGACTAAAAAAATAAGATAATATAAGGAACATATAAAAAATATTACATAAAATATATAAACTGGGCATTAGTTATAAAACATTCGAATAAAGAAAATAACAAGATAAAGCATTTTAAGTGAAAAATGTTAGTATAAACGTTAATCATAAAAGCTATTTGCTGATAAAATTAGTGGATTTCAGCTAAACGTTTCCACTCTAAAAATTTCAGATAGCAAGCTAATAGAGGTGCAAAATGCCTTCTTTAGAAATGCTGACTTAATGTACTATAAAAAGGGGATAGAAGAACAACGCATAGTTAGACGTTCACAAAAGTGACAAACTATATCCTCCTTAAAGATGTAAAAATAATACTAGACATTTTATTTTATAGAAAAGCGTATGGGAAATCTTCCGCATGATAAGATACCAAATTTAGCGGAGAATTTTTTGGCAAATGTAATTACCTATGACTAATAATTTTATATTAACGAAAGCGAAAAAAGGATAATACTTTAAAAATTTTGCAATTAAGTAAATATATACTTTCACTAGTTGACCAATGATGAGAATCGTGAACTTTGTTTTGTAAAAAACTAATTTTACGGGTCTAAGGACAAAATAAATTAAATGATTACGAATGAATATACGTAACCAAAAAAAATTAAAATGTATTAAATAACTCAAATAGTCACCCTCTTCTTACTACAAATACTACAAAAACCTTTAAAATTTTAATTAAAATCTCTTTCATTCTTAGTTAATATTAGAAGATGATACCAACTTTAATTACAAATCAGAAACTTAGTAACTACTATCTCTACGGAAATTCCGCCGTCCACACAGGCATGCGCCGGCTGTACTTATTTCCTAAACATATGGGCTGATTACTTTTGCTTCCATGTACGCAAAAGTGCGACTACTAGGGGAGTTAACAATATAATTGAACTAATGAATTCTAATAAGCGTGCGGAGCTTTAAGGAACAAAATATTTGCTTTTTGAGTTTTGCACCAGTTTAAGGAAAAAGAGTCCGCTTTTACGCTTTTTTTTTAAAGCTATGTATTTAGAGGGTTAGAAAAACTATGCCAAGAGCAAGGTCGTTGCCTTTTTTAAATTAAACATAATTATGGGTCTGAAAGACCTCGGTGTCGCCGCTGAATACGTAGCTAGCGAAGCGCTTTTTTTTTTTTTAAAAAAGAAATATAGAATATGGCAAAAAGCTGATAAAATTTAGACAGTGCGATATTACAATGTTAATCTTTACTTTGACTGCCAGCAAGACAAATTATTTGTGTAGAAATTTTTTATATATATAAAAAACTTTCTAATCGCTTTTAAATTGTTTAGAAGCACTTTAGATCTTTGAATTATTATAAAATTTAGAACTCAAGTAACTCAGTTTTGGCTTTCAATGTTAATATACTAGTAAAGTTTACTCTATAACCTAATTTTTTGTAGATCTCGTTGCTTAATTCACTCTTTAAATACACACTTAAGTAATATCATTAGCTCCAGTAAAAATTATGGTTAAAAGGATTTTTAAAAAATTATAATTATGGAAATAAGAAAATTTTAAAAGCGACTTCTTCATCTTTGCAAGCTTAGCACCTCCCTTAGTGGTTAAAGTTAATTTTTATTGGATCTCTCCACACGAATTTAACTAACCTACTTTAGTATGCTCGTCCAGTACTAAAAAATAGGCAGAAAATAACGGAGCGTACTATTTTAATCAAAACCTCGTTTTCAATAAAAATTTACGCAATAGTTGTTAAATTTACAATTTTTATTGTACAATCATAAATGAAAATTCAGGGTAACCCTTAAACATTATTTGAGGGAAACATTCATATAAAAGTTTAGCCATCTACAAAACCTTTCATCCAATATTTTCATCAATCTTTTCAGTAATATTAATAATATCGCCTAAAGTTTTATTATTTATTATAAAAAAACAAACTATTAAAGTGGAAATCTCGTAAAAACTTTAAAAAATTGTGAAATTCAAGCAAATTATAAACTTTATAAAATAAATTATCATTAAAAATTATATAAGTAAAACTAAACAGTTTTCATATTTAAAATAATAAAAAGTAAAGATGAGGAACACTTTACATATAATACAAGGTAAGTAGAAGTGGGAATAATAATAAAATACAGGAAAATAAAAGTACTAATAAATTTTAATCTCTAAATAATTAAATTTTTTAGAGATTATTGTTTTATATAAAATATAAAATTTTACGTATCAATTAAAAAATAAGTATATTTAAAAGAAAAGAAACTAATAAAAAACATTTATAATATATATAGTATATAAATAATTATTATTTCCTTCAAATATTATAATGACTAACATTTCTATAAAACTTCTTCGGAATGCAAGTCTGCAGGATCTTCGCTGTGGTAGTTATAAAGAGTAGCGCAACGAGAATCACGGCCTTTTGTATTGCTTTGGGATAAAAGCTGGAGGCAACTTTTGGGGAAAAGACCACGCGCGCTTTGGCGCCCTTTTTCGTAAACTATTCCCTCCCAGAGTTCTTCGTTCGGCGTGTGTGTGTTGGTGACGAGAATAATGTCGCCTAAAAGATAATGATAATAATATCCATTGTATAGTTTCTAGAAAGTCTTAAGTTTTCATATAAATATCTATAGATGGTAATAATAAAAGTTCCCAAACATAAAAGCCAGTAATTATGAAAATAACAATTAATTATATAAAAATTTGGTAGTCTTTATATCATAAAAATTAAAAAAAAGTTACGAGACCTTTTCGTAGTGGGATTTCAGAAGTATCACCAGGAAAAAAATTGCGAATGGCTTTAGCGGTCAGTGCATTCTCCTCACAAGATAACTTTTTATATTTATATTAATTACTTTAATTTAAATAAGTTACGCACAAAGAAAATAAATATAATATAAAAGTAAATGTTATAGAAAAGTAAGAAAAAGTTAATCTTTTAAGTTTTATAATTATACATTTTTATTATTTTGTTTTAGTGCTTAATATTAAAATATCTAAAAAAGTTACCGTTTTAGAAAACTGATTATCACCGCCAGCACCACTTTCTATAATAAATATAAAAAGTAGAGAGTCGTGCAATATAATATGAATAAAAAGACGAAAACCATGTGGAGTGCCATGTGCCGGAAACGTATCCAGAGCCCTCCTATGTGTTATGCATAAGAATAATTATAATAATAATAATAGTAATACTCTGAATGATAATTGTCAGTATCGAGCTGTGAGAAGGACAACCGACCATCGCTTTCCTAATAAAAAGATTAAGGTAATTCATTAGCAATAAGAAAACGACGCCGAGTTCACAACAAATAAAAACCGCTAGACTGCTGGATCTCGAGAGACGATTGGCTGGGACCCAACCATTCTTGTCTCGCACAACTCCAAACCACCAATCGTTGTTCTTCTTCTCAATTACCTTTACGGTATCTCCTTCAAAAGGGTATATATTGTTGATGAGTTTGTTACAACAGCTAAAGAAGAAGTACCCTTTTTGAATGATATATCGGTACCAAATTTCGAGTGATAGTCGCCAATTGCAGTATAAATCTCACCAGAATCTTGTGGTAGAAAAAAGAAACTTTACGGTAAGGGCAAGTCCATCAATAATATTTTTTACTTTGTTTTTCTAGTAAGTCGGTCTCATGTGACCTATTGGAGGAAGGCGAGTCCGCGTGGGAGTCTGATGAGTCACGTGGGATGGCAGTAGAAGAAGGCGTAGGCGAGGAAGGTTTAGAAGCGTATTGGTCGAATGGATTACTATAAAATAATTACAATAAGTTTTTAATATTTATGTAAATATACAAAAGTTTACCTCCAACTTATTGACTCGATGCCTTGAAACAATCCTCATCATAATAATTATTATCCATATTATTATAATTATAAACTTTCTGGAACCTTCTTCCTCTCGGACGTCTTGAAACGGATTTAGCAGGGCTTTTTTCTTTTCATTTTGTAATTTTCTAGTACTTCTGTTTTTAACCTGACTTTCCAGCTCTTTTAAAGCAGAACCGTAATTTTTATTGCTATCAGGAAGCGTACTTTTTTTAATGCTCTTCTTATGCTAAAATATAATAAATATTTAAAGTGTATTGTAAATAATGCAAAACTTTTTGAAAAAACTATAAAATAATAATCTGTTTCCTCGTTAAAAAGTAAAACAAAATCGAGGATTGGAGTTAATTGAACCTTATTGCGATATGCAGAATAGTTAGACCTATCATCTTCAAGATCTTTGCGTTTTTCAAGCGCTCGTTCCAGCTGTTGGCTAAGCAGCTCCAAGTCACGTTGTTTTTCTTTAACTATAATTCTGATATGAACCAATTTACATGTAAGCCATCGTTGTTTTACTGCTTATTTAATATTATTAAATAATATTAATACTTTTTTTGATTGAGTCTTTTCTCACTTAAGGAAAGTGAACTTTCCAACTCTTTAATATTTTCATAATAATATTTCACTATAATATTAAAATTAATAAATAATACTAATAAAATAATTATACTACCCTTTAAACTGTGTTCTTCGAGGTGCTTCTCTACATTCCCAGTTCCTCTAAAAAGTAATAAAAAGTTGATTGTAATAAAAAAAATAAAATAATTAAAATATGTTATGATATAAATAACATTATGAGTGCTACTTAAAGTTACTTTTGGTAAGAAAAAGTTCCAGAAGATAAACTTTTTTTGTTATTTTGTAGTCTAGTAAATTCGTTGCATAAGTCTTTATATTCCGCTTTCAAATTCTAATAACAAAGATAGTAATAAACCTTAGTAACAGATTTAGTATGTAATATAATAAAATTAAGATCACTTTTTTTAAACTTGCTTACCGTTTTTTAATGACTCTCTAACACAATATTTTCACCAATAAGAAAGCAATTTTTTACATAACAATCAATCAGAGGCACCTTAACTGCTAAGGAAAGTTCCTCGCACTGCCTTAAGTAGTCTAAGTTGGCCGTGCATAGTTCTTGATGGCTTTTGTGTAGTCGAATCAGACGAAGTTCAACAGTTTCTTTTTTCCTTTCTGATCTGTTTTAAATATGAATATTTAGTAACGAGAAAAAATATATATATTAAACAAACTCTTTTCGGTTTCCGATAACATGCTCCAGTTGGCTACGTAGTCGTTGGATTTGTGTTTGCGACTATACATAGTCGATAAATGAGATTATTAAATTAATTGGAAGATTAAAGCTTTAGTACGTTATTAAGTTTACGTAATGCATCAAGTTTTCGGGCATTTATTATTTGCTGTTCTTGTTCACGTTGCTTATTTAATAATATCTATAATATTAGAACAAATTAAGTGCAAATGAATTGTCAATATACAAAAGTAGTTTATGGAAGGTGTGTAGTTCCACATACCTTTATTTATTAGTATATTGCTTTAATTTAAGGAGTTAATTTATAGGTTTAATTTTTCTAAAAAACTTAAATTGGTGCAGAAAATAACTACCAGAAAGGTCAAAACTAGACATTTCCTCGGAAGGTAAAAGAAAGTAAAACCTTATAATATATCAATTTTTATATTTGATCGAGTTTATACAGAAAATGCGTAAAGTGACCGTTTTTAATAGCTTTCTGGTAAAAGCCAAGTGGATGTAAATAAAAAAAATAAGTAAATTTGTGACCTACAAGTATTTATATAGTTTAAGTACAAGACAAATTCTTGAATCTTTCTTGCTAATGCTGAAAGTATACTAAAAGAAACATTGAAGAACGTTGTGTACAAAGTAAAGAAAATTTGAAACAACTTATTTTATAGACATTCAATTTTCTTTGTGGTTAACTGCTTGGTTTCTATAAAGTTCAGGTTTTCTTTGCTATACAGCGCTTAAGCCTTAAAAATTTATTTAAAATATGGTGCGGTCTTTTTTATACTTATAAAACAATACCGAATTGTTAACAATTCTTATGCTAACGGCGTGAGCACACGTTATAATAATAGTAAAAGCTTTATTTTTAAGTCAACTTTGTTAAATCACCAAGGAAGTGTTTTTTATTTAAAGCAGAAGAAATAATTAATAGAAACTCTAACCCTCTCTATTAGGTAATAAACTTCTCTATGTTGTGGTGCGAACTACACTTTAGCACAGAGACTCAATACTTGTCTTTTAAAAACGTGTTCTGGCAAATAATTGGCAGAAGGGCCAGTTGTGGAGTTGCTCTATAAAATAATAGTTCTTACTTAAAATCGTTAAATATAAATTAAGCTAACTGAAAAAAGTGAAAAAAAAATATACTGGCCCCTATAGTACCAAATTACAGTTCTCTATTAGAATAAAGAATGTTTAGTGAAGTCAAGAAGTTATTGGAAACCCAACTCAATGTACGCTCAAGTAACTTGCGTCCCTTAGGCCGCTTACTACCAAGTTTTTTAATATTAACCAAACCTTGTTTTAACTTTATATATACTTCTAAGTTTAAGAGCTATTCTTAAATAAAGAAAGGCTGCCAATAATTTCATTAGATTAATAATAACCTGTCCATTTAAGTAGAAGTATGGTTTAAATTCAATAATCTAATATTTTATATACCCTTTTTATTGCAAAATAGAAGTATAAATTAAACTTAAAATCAAAAAAGCTATTATGTGAAAGGATCTTAGAGTTTTCTTTTTTTCTAAAAACTAAAATTAGTTCCTGAAGATTTTTATCTCACTGTATAAAAATGTCTGCTTTCGGCTCATATATCCGTGACTGTTATTTCCTTTTAGGGTTTAGGGTGTATTCTGTCTCTAAAGTGTTTTGCCTGCCTGCATTGCCTCTCACTTTTTGGTTGTGAGGTAAAACGGAAAGCGTGAGAGTTATAATTATCGTAAACCCATAATTTAAAGCGCGCTTAAACCTCAACGAAGCAGTGCGCGAAAAATGGTGAGGTATTTAGTCTATATATGAAAATATTTGCTCTGCAGTCTCTGGTAACACCTGTCACGCAGGAACTGAAGAGTAAGTAAATCCAGAAAAATTACAATATAACTTTAATAACTTTTAAAAGTATAATAGGAAAAATTCATCATTTCTTAACAATTATATATTTCCATATAATAATTTTTATATATTATATTTTAAGGTACTTTTAATAAATATTATAAAAATATTATAAAGATATATAAAAAAATTACCTGCCTTCTAAACTCCATTTCTCTCTGTTCACTTAATTTTTTTAAACGTAGTTCTTCCGTCTAATAATAGATTTATAATAGTTACCTTTATAATAATAATAATATTAACCACTTGACTCTTTTTCAGTTCTTCATTAATTTCGTGTTCTTGTCGTTGTAATTCTTTTCTTCTTCTTTCCAATTCCTTCTGCGCTTCCATAAAACACTCTCTTAATAATAATAACCGTAATCAATACTATGAAGTTAATATTATGGCTACTGCTATTATTATTATTATAATACTTTTCTTCGTTAAAAACAATATACTGCCGGCCAGCTTCCAACTTTGTTTTTTCTAAGTGTTCAGGAGAAAGTTGTTTAGGAAGAGACTTTGGAATTGGACAGCCAAACTCTGCAGCTAAACGAAAATTATTAATAATATTTAATATTTACAAAAAAATTAAATTTTATTTAAAATAGTATAAATTTTTTTATTATTACATTACATTATCATGAAAAAATTTTAATATAAACTTTTAAATTTCTTGCTTTTTTAACTTTTTAATAAACTTTTTTCTATAGAAATAATATATTATACATAATCACATATTTAGTTTTATTATCCTTTACCTAAACTTCTTATTCAATTAATTTTTATTATTTTCTCATATTTATATATTTAGCATTATTTTAATTAAAATTTTTAATATATCAAATTTTCTGAAATAAATATATACTAATGCTAATACTATCTTAAATATAATATTACTTTTATATAATTAATAAACATAATAATAAAATTGAAAAATTTGGCATTTTGTAATTAGAACAAGTAAATATTATGTTTCATTTTTTTATTATTTTATAATTATTTCGACGAGTTTTTTAATGCAAAAATATTAATTACAATGTCAGATAGAAAGTTGCTAAATTTATAAGTTACGTGATTTAAATTTAATACTAAAGGTTTAAAAATATTATAATTTTTTATTATTATTCTAAAATGTTGATTTTAAAATTTTTTTAGACAAAATAATGATTTTTAATAGTTATATATAATTTAATAAAGAATTTTGATGTTTAAAAATATTTAATAAATAATAATTTCATACTAATCTACATATATATAAATTTTAAATTTTACATTTTTACATAAGAAATTTCACTTTATTGCGGAAAAAGTACTTTTAAGATTTTTTTTAATGACTCTACTTTTTAATTATTAGAAATGGTTGATAATTTATAAAATAAATATTATTTAATTTTTAATATAATTTAGATTTTATGTAAAAAGTTCACAGGTTTCTATATTTAGTGTGTCTTATACATTTTTCTTTCAGCTTTAAAAAGTTTTTTTCAATAACATTCATTACTTTAATTTATACACATAATAAAAAAAATTTCTTTACAAATTAATTATTTTAAAAATAAATTTATATGAAACCTTACTATATATTATATAACTCTTTAACTTTCATGCGATTCTTATTAACTTTAAAATTTTTATTATTACCTAGTTTATAATTCAAATTTAATTTTCTTATGAGGCTAGTTGATACTACTTTAAGTTTATTTATACGTTAATCCCAATAATTCATTAACCCAATGAGTTTTAAATAATTATAAACAATTTTACTGTTGAATATAAAAAAAAATTATTTATATAATAAATTTTACTTTAAAATTTTCTTCTTAATTAGAAAATTCAATAAGAATTTCATTACTAAAATATGATTTATCTATAAATTTTATTAATTAATAGTATCTATTAATAACAAATTTTCGAAGTTTTTAAAAACGTAAAAAACATTTATACATAATACCAGTCACTAAATGCTGGCAAACAATGAATTCGGAAAGATTTAATGAACCTTTTTTATTCTCATCGCATAAATTCCTTTTTAATTTAATAAAGATTATAAAAAATACTAAATAAAACTCAATAATAATATTTTTCAAATTTTTTTATTATTTAAACAAAAATAGAATAAGGTTCATTAAAAAATAAAATTAATTTAAAAGATTTCAAAAAGTTAGTGGGCTTCACCCAGATTTTATTTTCCAGTTTCTATGATAAGTTAACTCGAATATAATTAATACTAATATAATGCTTTAGACATCCAATATATCCAAATTACTAAACAGATAACTTTCTTATTTTATTAGAATAATACTAATATAACAAATATCTGTAGTAAAATAAAATTCTACTTTTTAATTTAAGTTTTAGTCAAAAGTGTATGGGTATCTTAAGAATTTGGTTTATTATTTATAAATATATAACTTGGAAGCATTAAGTTAACCTCAAAATTATTTAAATTAATAAGCTAATTTACAAGTATTATATGGATTATTATTTTTAGATAAAAAATAATTAAATATAAATAAAAGGAAAAAATAAATAAAAATAAGGTTTAAAAATTATTTTATATATAAAGAAGGAAGCATTCTTTTTTTGTAATTTAATTCTATTTATAATAACCATAAAAAATTAATTAATCCAAAAAAAAAATATAATATATATTATACATTATGGACGTATAAATTAATATTTATTACTAATAATATAACTTGTTATACAATTTGTCTCTATTAATCTATATATTGGAATATTTATTTGTAAAACACATCTAAAACACTTATTATGATCATAATAGAACAATAACAACAATAAATACGATAAATAATACTACAATATTAATAAAATCGTAAGACAAAAAGGAGGGCAATTGTATAGTAAACTTGGCACTAATTAAATAGTAATAATAAAATAAATATAAATAACAATAATTATTTTATTTACTTTCAATATTATACTTCTACTATTAATATTTAAACAATTATTTTTTTAGTTCTACTAGCAATACCGATGCCATCAAGCAAACATAAGTTGGTCAAATCAAAAAAACAGGTAATTATTATAATGTATTGTTGGTCTATATATGCATTTAAATATATTGTTTATTTCATAACATACTTCTGATGTAAACTTGGTTAATATACAACCAAGTGTAGCAACAGACATTAAAAAATGGATCAAATAAATGCCAATTGGTAGATTTAGCAAATTCAGCTATTATAAGTAAATGGATTCATTTAAAATATATTAAAAACTGTTATAGAAAATTTAATCTTATAAAATGGATTGTAAATTTATAAAACTTTTGCTAAAATTTTAATAGAAATATTTTACTATTATTATTATAGAAATTTTTTATAGCTTAACTAAATCATTCGATTTACCAGTTTTTAACTGTTATTTATATGTAGCAATAAAAAATTGTGAAAGTTTAGACTCCCTTTCAATTTTATTATTGAAAGTAAGATGCTTCTTCAAATAAAACGAAGCAGTGCCAAATATGTAACTATGTCACAGTTATAATATATTAATTGCTCAATAATAACCCAAAAAAGTTAAATAACAAATATATATATAAAATATTCAAAAATAAAAAAAAAAAGTGGTTAAGTAAAAAGTAAAAACTATAAATACGCAGGAATTGTCCAACTTAAGGTAAATTTATTATAATGATCATAACATTATATGTTTTTAAAAAAATTTTATTATTTTTTTAAAATAAAAAATAATCTGAAACTTTATTTTTGTTGTTTAAGTAAAAATAAATATTAAATTGTATAAAATATTTAAACATAATTTCGTTAATAATAAATTTGATAAGTAAAATTAAAAAGTTTAATATAAAACCAAATCTAACTTACATAATGATAACATTATTATAATTTTCTGAAAATATATGCCTTGAATATAATAATAAGTGAGGGTAATGAGCTCAAACTTAATACCAGATCTCCGCTAATATTTCTTTGGGCACTTTAGAATCTTTTACAAAATCTCTCATTTTAGATCCTTTTAAAATTATAAATATATTATTATATAAATTTTAAAAAAAAAGTTAGCAAACCATAAATAATAAATAATACTTCTACATATAGCAAGACCTTTTGATTTTTAAAATATTATTTAGATCTTTAATTTAAGTAGAATTTAATTATATTTTTTTTACAATACAACCGCGACCCCGTGATGCGAGCCAATCAAAAAAAAATCTGTGGCTCACGCTTTAAACCAAGTAGCTACAGATATCGGGGTCCGACTGTTTTTAAAATTTAAAATCTTTTTTCATAGATATTAATTCCAAATTTAAAATAATTTTATAAAAGGGCTAGGTCATAAATATTGGATTTATAAAGAAAAATGAATATTACAATGAAGATAATAATAATCAAATTACATAATAAAAATTATAATACTATAAAGTCAGTAAATTAAGCTGAAGAAATAAAATACTTTAATTCTTAAGCAAAAAGCATAACATCATAATAAACACTTTTAACTTAATAAATTAAAAAAATCAAAAGTTATTATTCAAGTTATTTGTAGAAATAGAACTTATATATAACCAAGTAGTAATTCAAAATGTAAAAAGATATAAAATTTAACTTTCATAATGAAATTAATAGCCAAAAAAATAATTAAAGTGGAACTAGTATAGAAAACCTGAAACTCTGCCTTCTTTGCCAGTGTCTAAAGTATTAAAGACGTTTTTGTACTGAAAAAAATCTTCGTCAGTTAAGATTGGAATATCGTTAGACCAAAAAGATTTCGGTCGTAGTGGAAAAGGCAGTAAAGATGGGAGCGGGTAGCCTTAAAAAATAAATAATACCAATAAAAAATTATAACACTTGCAAGATAAAAAAAATTTATAGATTAACTTTTTAAAAAAAATAAAAAAGTATTTACTAAAAATCTGAGAAGTTGTTAAGTATATAACTTAGAAGAAGCAATAATTATTTAAAAAAACTATTTATATATAAAAAGAAAATGAAAAAAATAAAACTATTAAGCAGTCATTTAAGAGTAAAGGTTATTATAAAAAAACTAATAATCTTTAATATATATACTAACCTCTCCGCCTCAAGTTAATTAATTTACAACCGATAAAGAATTCCTCAAGCGTAAGCTTTCCATCTTTATCTAGATCACATAACTCCCTAAACCAAGTGAAAGACAATAAATCCATAAAATTTAAAAAATAAAAAATTAAAGGGCAACGAACACATAGATAAGAAGTATTTATGATTTATTATTACCAGATTTTTTTTAAGTCAACCTTTTTTAAGCCACTTTGCAGAAAAACAGAACGAGCTTGTTCGCCTTCATATTAATATTATGCAAAAAAAAAAAGGAATGCTTTTGATATTAAAGGCTTAAGGAGAAGTTCAAAAATTGTTTAACGAAAACTAATTCACCAGTAACTTTATCAGAGGAAGGTTCAAGGCTTAAAAATGCGGATCTATAAGTGCTTTTCTCACGTTCCGTAAATTCCCATACCGAAATATCATCTTAAAATTTAAACAATTTTTAAATATGTATATGTTAAAACTTATAAAATCTTTAATAAAAAAAACTTTTTTCTTTACAATTATGGTGGAAATTAATTAATAATAACAGCGCGAAACACACTGACAAGCGCAAGAAGGAGTAACTATTACCCGGAAAGTCCATGACCACCACCACAACAAATAAGAAAAAAAACTCGCGTTGCCCAATTTTAACTTCGTTTATTGGCAATGGACAGGTTCTTAAAGCTAACAGACAAAGAAAACTTCCAAAAAAGGATATCTCCTCAAAAACGGGCTTCTATTATTGGTTAAGGCAATTAACTTGAAAGCAATAAATGGAAAACACGAATCGCTGCATGTTACCATTTCCACCACTTCGAGGTTTGCTTATGTCGTTTGCTGCAGAACGGCAACCTCTACTCTCAACTAATAGGAATGTGAATGAGGTTCTCGATATTATGAAAAAGAATGTAGAGAAGGTGTTAATCATTTCCTTACTTTCATCTTATTTATAATTCTTTATATATTATTATACATAAGTTATAAAACCTTTTTTTAACTTTTCTTTTATTTATTACTTTTGTTTTTCGTATATTAACACATATAAAATTTCTATTTTCTGTTGTTAATATATAATTTATATTAACAAATTTTTTTTTTCGTAAAGGTTATAGAAAGAGAAGAACAGTTATCCAACATCCAAGAACGTTCGGATGCTTTGGAGGAAGGTTCTAGCAGGTTCGCCTTTACTATTCAAACTAACTATATTACTGTTAACTTTATAATAATCTTTCTTTGATATATCTGTTTAACTTCTATAACTTTTTTATGTTGAATTATTTTATCAATAAAGTTTTTAATTTTTTTTCAATTGATCGTATAAAACTGCTTGAACTTTTTTTTTATTAAATACGTTTATAAAATTTTATACTCATTTTCTAGCGATTAAAGTTATTTTAGAATAAATAAAATTAGTAAAACTGTCAGTTTTATTATTTTGTCATCTTTTTAAATAACATTATTGTTTAGCAGTGGATTGATTTTATAATAATAAATAATAATTAACTTTTTAAATATTCCTTATTTCTAACTTTTATGTATATTTTTCAATTTTTATAGTTGTTCTTCGTGCTTTATAAAATAATTAATTGTGAATTAATCTTTAAGTAAATACATTTTTTATATAATAAGCATAAAATTACATTCGAATTTATATAATTAATAACATTAAACAAGTTGTGTTGTAAAGATAATAATTATTTAAGTTTATACTATTTTCTTTTTTAATACTACAGTGAAAGCAAGTTTACAACAAATTAACAATAATTATTAATCTTGAAAAATTTATTAATAACTTTACAAAAGTAATTATAAAATAATAATTTAAAAACTTTTAAATTTTTTTTAAAAAAAATTTCTTAGGTTTTGTGTTTATTAATTTTTTTGAATTTCTATAAAGTTTTATAATTTTTTATATTTTTATAATTTTTTTTATAAAACTTTATTTTTTGAGGAAGACTACAATATTTAAAAATAACTCAAACTATTATGTGTATTAATTTTTTTAATTGTCAAATATTATCAATATAAGAAATTAAATATTCTTTTTAGTTAATCTGAATAAGAAATTTATTATTATATAAAGGTTTAATAATTTGCCTTTGTTATCATTTTGCATACATTTTAATTTTAATTTACTTAAAAGGACTCAAGAGTTTATTACTATATTAATAAATAGCATTTCATACTTTATTTAAATAAAAATTATTATTTAATTAAACTAATTTATTATTGTAACTAAATTTAATTTAACTTTAAAAGTTTATAATTAATTTTTTAATCTTTAGATGTATTTAGTTGAAAAAGTATTTTATCTTTAAATTTTTAAATTATTTGTTTTTGTTATTAATATTTTATTTAATTAATTAAAAAGTTTTCTAAAAATATTTTAATTTTAATTAAAAAATATATTTATATTCTTCTTTCATTGAACAGATTTATTAATTTAATTTAAATTCGCTTTATAATTATATTTATAAAATTTAAGAGAATATTGTCACTTTAAAATATATTAGTAGTCTGATTCTATTATTAATAATTAATTTCACTCATTCAAAATTTTGTCTTAAAAAAGTTTATTATAAGTTAATTATAATAGTACTATTTATTTTGCTTAATTATAAATTTATTATTCCATTGTTGGGTTACTTAATTAATGTCTAATTATCTTTATAATTTTAATTTTAATAAAATATTATAAGATTCAGCTCTGCAGGAAGGCAGGTTCGAAGAAAAAAGTTCTGGCAGAATAAGAAATGGTGGTTATTGCTTTTAGGGATTTTATTTTTACTTGCGCTAATTCTACTGCTATCCTTCAAGCCGTGGCGGTAAAAAAAAATTAAATTCAAACTTAAATTAATTTTAATAAATCTTTAAATTTTCTGTACTACTGAATTTTATAATAAAAGAAAATTTTAATGGGAGTTGAATCTATATTCTTAGTGAATTTGCTTTGAACTTTTTTTTGTATGTATAATATTTTGTTTTTGCGAAGTAATTAAATAATTTAGAGAGTCATCATAACTTTCTACTTGAGGAAAGTAGTAATTATATATCATAAAATAATTTACATTTATTAATTTTTTAAAAAAAAGATGAAACTGTATTAAAGAATTTTAATTTATAAATCACGTTATAGTAAAGTTTAACTTTTACAATTAATTGTAGTAAAACAAAAAATACAATTTTAATACTGATTTAAAAGAAAGAGGACTCAATGAAATCTAATTTATGAAAGTTATCAAGTAAATGTTTACTTTTCAGTTAAGGTTAACTTTTAAGAGTAAACAATTAAAAAAAATTACGAATACATTGTAATTTAAAAAATTATGTAAAGACTAATTTTTTTAATTTAGTTAATCAAGTAAATTTACTTTAGGAAAGTCCACTTTTTCGAGTCAACATTAAAAATGGTTTCATTTTCAATTACTATTTCAAAAGAATGAAGTTTAATTAAACAAAAAAAAAAATTTTACAAAGGTTAAGTAAATTTACCTTCAGTAAGGTATATCTTCTCCTAGTAAACGTTTAAAAAATTATATATATTTTTGATTAAAAAGTTGAATATGAAAATGACTAACTGAAATCTATTCTGCTAAAGTTTACAAGTAAATTTTACTTTGTAGTAAAGTTTAACTTTTACAAATGAACTATTAAAAAGAATTACACACTATCATTAATTTAAAAGAAGCACTGGCTCGATGAAATCTAATCTATTAAAGTTTACAACAGTTTTTTAAAATATAAAGTATCTCCCGAGTTAAGTAGAGTTTTTCATAATATATATAGAAATCTAAGGACGACTTTAAAAATTTTGCTAGATATATCTCATTTTTGAAAGAAAAATTTTTCTTTTGATAAGCTTTTATAAAGTAGCCCTTCCCTTAAGAACAGTTTACAAAAAACTCGTGGAATAATACTAAATAATTGTTATTGTTCGTGGTTATTAGAAACTAATTTTTAGACGAAACAGTTTGGTGGAAGCCAAAGTTACTATAAATTATTAAAGAACTTTTATTATTCAATTTTTCCTTACTACTCTTTATTATAGTTGCACTTAAATATAAGTAATATTTAAAGAAGAACAGGAGATAATTGTAAAGCAAGCGCAGGGCTAATAAATTATTTTTTGTGAAACAGTTCCTTGTGCTAGAATCGAGCCAGGAACTTTCGAATACTCGAGCTCTCTACCAGGAGTGAGCAGACGTGTTACATAGTTTTCAAGCGAAGAGTCATAATTTTCTTGACTAATACTAACAAAACCTAGCGCTAACGCTCGTCAAGTGGAAGGCCATGAAGGGGCCCGACCCACGACCCGTAAATAAGTTCATTCACAAGCAGGCGATTAGTATTCCTGGCTAGCCTGTCCTAAAAGGCATTGGGGTTAAGTTGACTGAAGGCGCCGGTAAAGAGCTTCATTTCGCACAAACCACGGCGCGTTTGTTATCATGCGCAGCAATTTGTTCTTTTTTACTTGAAGTGCTGACGCTATTTTAGTGAAGTCGTAGGTCCATTCAGCAGACGCCTATGTCATTTTAATGGCTGGATGTAAAACATACATTGTCGTTTGTTTCGCAGAGAAAGCTTGTTCTTACCGCATAGTAAAGGGTAAAGCGCCCTAGTTGCTGTTTTGACCTTTGCCGTGATGATCCACGTGCAGCTGCCAGGAAAATTTGTTGTCAATGATGACACCCAAGTATTTTGCTTGGGACCAGAACGGAATGTTCACGCCATCGGTTAAGGGCGCAACAAGGGGATGCATTTCTTAATGATCATAATCCATCGCTTGACAAAAACTTTCCAATTACAGCACCAATCAGCAAGAGCGTCAAGATAGAGCTGAAGCTGCTTGCATAGCAAGGCGGTGACTTCGAAAATGAGTAAACGGCCGTATCATCGGCTTAGAGGGCGATTCGTGTGTGTGGAATTGAGGGCAAGGGTACGTTGCTCACATAAAATTGCAAGTAAACGTAGCGAAAGAAGTGATCCCTGAGAAAATCTTGCTGTCAGAGATCGCAGCGGCGGCTGTATATCTCTCACACACCAATATATTATAAAACGGCGTACATTCATTTTCTTCACAATAAACCAAAAATATTTCAATAGTAAAATTAAAAATTTTTGATTTGCCGCTAAGTTTTTAATTTGTTGCATATTAACTGGAAGAGGTAATTTTAACTTTTTCCATAATTGTATTATTATAATGTAAAATTTGTAAAAAAAAGACGACAGTTTGTTTAATTTGGATCAGAGATTTAAAATATTGAATTTTTTAGTTAGCTGACACACTAAAATAATTTTTTTTTTGATAGGTGGATTTCACAGGCTGATATTTTCTAGAACTATTATATTACAGGAAAAAACATTGTATAATATAGGAAAGCCAAAGGGCTTAATTTTCTTTTAGATGACTAGCCCAATGTCAATTTAAACTAAGAGTGAACAAACACAATTCCAAAAAAACGGTCAACGTGCGCCAACTCGCTTATATTTTGCAAAACCCTCGGGCGAGTAAGCCTCACATTACATAACAACCGGAAAAGTCTTAATTTGATTAGCCACTCTTAAATTAACTTGAAAACATTAATTATTTTTCTTGGTTCTTAACTCTACGCCTATCTTGTGCTACATATGTGGTCCTTACGATTGTGTATAAATATATATAATGCTATATTTAATTTTTTATTTGTATAATTGTTTAAACTTTTAAAAATTGACTTGTTTTTCATTTTAAGAAATTGTTACTTAAAACAGAGAAGAAAAAAATTATAGGCAGATGACTAACATCTTATACGTATACGACGAGTCCACGGCTATAAAGTTATAAAGCTGATATAAAAAAATATTAACGTGCTCTATTAATCTCCTCGAGGGGATGTACTTTTACAAGCTTTCTAGTTGTGGTTCTGCTCTCTCTAGCGTAGTGTAGCGCCTTCACAAGTGCTTTACATAATCACAAGGAAAACATAGCGCATTATGAAGAGGGGAGACGACCAGGTAACAGTGCTAATATGTTACTTCTTTTTGTTATAATTAGCTTACATTACACAGGCATCTATACTTTTTTTATTATTATGTACATTTATTATTATACCATACTTTTCTGTATACTTTACAATTTACGTTGTAGAAAATGTTATAAACTAATAAATCCAATAATTCAAAAAAGTCAACACAAATTTTAAAGCGAATTTTATTTATAGCTTTTCTGTGAAAAAATTATAGCATTAGTCCGATCATTGATTGACCTTAAAAATTTTGCGTTGCTTGTAGTGTCTCAGCCACTCATCTATAATAAATCATTCAGTTGGCCACGTGTAAAAATATAAAAAAATAAATTAAATCCTACTAGCGTCCGTGCATTTTATATTATACTTAACATTTTTTAAAAAACGTCTTCTTATAATTAATATTAAAAAATATAATTAGCACAAATAATTTACTAACGAGGATCTATCCCATAAATTTTTGCAGCTTTTATAATAAGTTTTTGGGGATTCCTGATTTCGTAAAGTGATCTATTATGCCATAATAATTTTTTTAATCATATTTATAATTATAAATACCACCTGGCGCCCCAACTATACTCGATTTCGTTTAAATTATTTTTAGAAGAGGAAATGTACTTTTGCTTTTCAAAGTGATTGAGCTAAAAAAAAAATAACTTTAGTGACATTATCTAAAAAAATAACTATTCCGCCTTATGATTTTAAATAAAATTTTTTATTTTACAAGTTTTCTGGGAATCCCAAAATTTTCGTGGTCAAGATCTTTTTCAATGCCGACAATTGACAGTAAACTCCATAACTCTTTAATAGAAAAGTTTAAAATAGTTTTTTTTATAAAAAAAATAAAATTTTTTAAGCGTTGTAAATAAATTATTTAGTCTATATTAAAATTTTTTAAAGTTCAATAAAACCTTTTTCAGGAACTTTATTGTTTTTTAACAAGATTAACGAAAGTATCGTAAAAAGTAAGCCCAGTTGAGCAAATTCATCTTCGGAATATTTAATCACACTTCCCCTATTCTGTAAAACATTAAAAACTCCATAAATTTTGACTTGCCCAGTCCCTAAAATTGATTATTTATAAAATAATTATTTTAGCGTGCAGAGATTTTCTATGCATGATAATTTTTTTTTGAAAGCTAATAGAAGATTATTATAATAAAAATGTCACAATTTAATCCAAATATTTAACTTTTATGAAGTGCAAATCTATTTTACACATTTTAATTGAACGAAATTGAAATAACTATAAAAAGTTTTTAACTACATAATGGTTTTCAAATTTATTTTATGTTTAAAAAATAGTGGGTATACCGCTACTTCAATAACTAATTATATAAAATATGGAAGTTAAAGTAAATTTCTCAAAACAAGCAATAATTCGGTTTTGCATTTGAACTTTAATGGGGCCATATATTGAAATATTGGTAGAGTTTTTTTTAATTTTCAAATTATTTTACTTGCCTTTTCATATTTGTTAGTAAGGATCTTAATAGTTTAAATATAATTCCTAAAGCCTGTAACCGTTAACTATAGATATAGGAGAATTAAGTAATTGTTTAAAGAAATATTTATTTAGTCTTTCTATACAATTTATCAAAAGTTAAAAGTCTTTAGCTTTGCTAGTTCCAATGAAAAATATTATAAGCAAAGTAATGTTAAAACATGTATGCTCTTATTTAACTTTAAGGATTGGAAAAATAGCAATAATTATTTCTTTTTAAAACGTTGAAAACTTTATAAGTTTAATATTAACTATAAAAATGGTAGTAATACTTATTATAAATATCACATTTTACTAATATATATGAGTAGAAATGAATTTTTGTGAGTATCTTGAGCGAAATTTATATTATCTACATAATTTACCTCTTATAAGTACCGCATAAAAACCAACATTAAAAAGTGTTGAAGTTTAGAATGTTGCTTAAAATTTGCAGGATTTTGTAAAGAACAATGAATAAAGTTAACTATAATAACAAGCAGTGTGAAGTACGTATAAATTTTTCTAAAAATCAACAGATCTTTTTTTAAAGAACTATTTCAGATCTTTAAAAAAAATCAAAATTCTTATAGTAATTAGTTATAGAAACGAATAGTATATAACTTTTATCAAACAAATTTAATTTGGTCGTACTTTGAGAAAAGCTTTAAGAAGTGTTTATAATTGAGCAATACTGTAGCTATAGTTTTACACGCGAGTAATAAAGTTACCACCAAGTTTTAAAAATTATTTTATATTAAAGATTTTAGTAGTATTACTGTAAAATTTATAACGAACAGATATATTATTTAATTTCTTTCCCATCTTGAAAATATTAATGTTTTCATTTCTATTTTACAATCTTTAATAATTAACAATATATGAAGGCGTTTGGGAAAATTTATAAAAAAGAATTATCAATTCTATTTGTACAGTAAAAAGTTATAAAGACTGAAAACTAACAAATGGCTAATGATAAACAGGAATTGATAGTTATACTATTTTTTCCAACTCTTAAAAGAGCTTAAATGATTGTAATTTATATACATTTTATAATTAAATTTTTAAACTAATTAAATTAAATTATTGTAAAAACATCAACATGGATCAAAAGTTATAACCAAGAAAGCATATAAATTTACTAAAACTGAATATTACCAAATTTTATTACACTAAACTGTGAGCATCACATACTTGACTTAAAGATTCTGAAGGGCTGAATGAATAAAACATCTAACAATCAGTAAAGATTTAAAAAATATAAATTTTCCTTTAAATTTTTAATTAAAACTAAGTTATTTTCAAAATAAATTATTTTTTCTAATTATAAGTTATACTTAGATTAAATTATTTTTAAATTAATTAGTTTATCTAAAGATGTGGTATAAAATTTAAAGTAATTACACATTGCGTCAAATAATTCATATTATTTTAAAAGTAAATTGTTTTTTCTAAACTTCATACAAGGAAGTTGTATACCATTAAAGTGTTACACAATTCTCTAAATTGTACTTTAATTAATTAATTTTAAATTGAACTGTTTTTTTTTACGTAATATAAAGAAGTTGTATACATTTTAAAAATTACAAACCAGATTGAATTTCCAGTAATTCTAATCCAAATACCGATCTCAACGTTTTATTTACTAAACTAAGTAAAGCCGAATTCCAACGGGCTCCTTCTTTTACGGCTGTACAATAATAATAATTTCAATTATGTTAGAGAAAATCTTTTAAACGAGTAAAATAAGAAAGAAATTAAATAAAACTCAACTTTATTTTAAGCCGAGTATTATTTAAAAATTTAAATTGAATTTTTTTTTAAATATTATATAAATTAAAAACCACTTTTTAATAATATATATAACAGCATTTATATATTTCATTATGCAAATTTATGAATATAATATGCCTATTTTATTTAATTCGCTTTGCTTTATCCCCTCCTTATTACGATCTTGAGCTAAGACATAGCGGACGAGGTCAGAAATTAAATTTTCTATGATGTAATTTAAAAATAAAATGTTTTTATAATATATAAATTAGTAGTATTAATTAACTTAAATATATATATAAGTACTAAAGATAAAAAAATTGGATTCTTAGTACTATAAAAAAAAAAAGCTGGTATTATTTACACTTTCTTAAAAAAAATTCGAAAATCCTTGGCATCGAGAAAAAAAAAAATTTAATATATGTATATTATTATAATCTTAAAAAAATATTTTACTCATAACAAAACAAAGAAAAATATTTTTTATTTATGAAAACATAATTTCGAAAGGATGTAGGTACCAAGGTTCGACGATTCTGTAGCACTAGTCATATGGCTTTTACTCTTAAAAAACTATTAGCAACCAAACTAACAAATTTGTTTAAATTTTGAGCATTTAAAATGTACATACAAAATTTTAGTATTTATAAATAAAGCACCGAGAATAACTGTTCTGTCATTCAAAAATTTTAGGAAGTAGAGCTGAGATGATTATTGAGCGTTCAAATTATGGTCGTCATCAAAATAACGCAAATTCAGTTTTGTCGTGATACAATTCGTGGTTTTTAATTATACTTTTGAATAAGGTCTTGGTCTAATTGAAGTTAGCAGTATTATTTACTTACCTTATAGTGACTTTTTATTAAAATAAGATGACCCCAAAGCTAAATAGTTTTAAACTAGTTAAAAAATTCATGAATACTAATTGCGGAAATATTTATGGGGTTTTAACTAAAGTCTGTCTTGAAAGTTTTCTTCAAATCAGTATTTACGAGGTTTTTCTTTGAAACGGACCTATGCAATCCTCCTTTAAATTGCTAGGCCGTAGCTAGTAAACAAGCAAAAGAAAAACACTCAGCGAACAACTACAGGCAAGAAAGCAGACCTAAAAGAGAATAACCCTCTGATCTATTATTTATTTACTTATTTTATTAATAACAGTTCCTGGTTTTCAATCGAGTTAAAAATTCGAATACTTGAGCTCTCAATCGGAGTGATCGCAGATATATTACAAGGAGCATTCAGGGTGTCCTTATTTTTTACATTAACAAAAAAAAAACGAACACTTAACAGGTTCCGCGGGCTATGACAACGTGCCCCGCCCCATGGTTCGTAAATAAGTTCGATCATCAGCAGGGGATTAGTGTGCTTGGTGAACCTATCGTAAAGGTCGAGGTTTAAAAGGCCCAGCTAAAGGTCCCGGTGCAGAGCATCATTTCCACAAATCACTGCGCTTTGTCAGAACACGAGGAAATTTGTTTTGTCGCACTTGAAGCGCCAACGCTATCGCAGTGTGCAGACGCGGATGTCAAAATTGACTAGATGTAAGACAAATACAATTGCCGTCTTTTTCGCATAGAAAGTTTACTCTTGCTGCAAAGTAAAGGATAAAGCGCCTTGGCGCTGCCTTGACCTTTGGCACTATATAGTTCGCGTGAGGCCGCCAGGGATTTTTTTTGTCGATGATGATTCCTAAGTATTTCGCTTGAGAACATCATGGAATATTCATGCCATTAAAGGTTAAGGGCACCAGCAAAGGGGCGCGTTTCCTTGAAATTAGTATACTTTTGTTCTTCACCGCATTTATCGTAACCTTCCAGTTAAGGCACTAGTCAGCAAGGGCGTCAAGATAGCGCTGTAGGTGCTCGAATAGCAAGGTGGGGGGCTTCGGAGGGGAATATACGGTCGTATCATCAGAGTAGAGGGCGATTCTTGTGTGAGGGTCGGACGGCAAGGGCACGTCGCTCATGTAACGTGCAAATGAAAGGGGTGAGAGCAATGACCCTTGAGGGGCCCCTGGTATCAGAGATCGAAGCGGCATCCGGGTTTCTCCTACGCGTACGCTAAAGACCCAACCATTCAGAAATGATTTCAGCGCGTTATAAAGGCCATGAGGGACGGATAAAGAGCTTAGTTTGTGCAGCAGACTTTCATGCCAAACTTATCAACTGCCTTTCAACGTCAAGGAAGACAGCGCTTAATAATAAAATTATATATATATGCTCCAAAAAAATTAACAGATTAAACAGGTGATTAATTTAAATGTATCAATTAAATTCGGTGTCAACTAAATCGTATGCTGTAAGATCATTTAGTTGACACTAATGACAAGGATCATAAATAGTTTCAACTCTATAAGCGTATAATAGAATAGTTATAATAAAAGGGGTGTAGACGGTTTCAGCTTAATTATTTATAGCACTGGCTTGCTACAAGCTTCTTTTATTTAAAAATCTACCGATTTACTTGCTTAACGAGTTATTGTGCTAACAAAGGGAACAGATGCGCTAAATTTACACAGCTGGATAGCTAAAAAAATAAAAAAGAAGCAAAGTCATAATTATATGAACGATAATAATATATATAATATCAACATTGTAAATATTAGTACCATCATGTAATTGGTAAATTTTATATTATTTTAGTCACCTTTACCCTTAGGGAATGTTTAGATCACGAGAGATGCACCAAAAGTCATAGGCTATAATTTTCAGGGTAAGTTTTCGTTATTTTTAAAATATAAATTGTAATTTCTTATAGCGCACTGTTAGATTTCCCACCACGCCAGAAAGTGGCCCTAAGGGGACAAAAAATCATTTATTAAAGTATCAAATTTTAACACAAACTAACTAAAGATGTTTACGCAATTTATCAAGCGGGACTGGGAGTTGTCATTGAAGTTATTAATTAGCATTGATGAGTAAAATTAATGTCGCAGGTTCATTTTTCGTCGGTGCAGCGCATACTTCCTGGTCTTGGTGAGTGCGTGCACGTCTTCCATAAAAATAAAATTTGTACGCGGCAAGAAGCATCTATTACCATCTACAGGATGCGTCTAAGTTAAATAAAATTCTCACAAAAGTTGCTTTCTTTACCAAACTTCCCCCGTTCTCTAGTTCTTGAAGCGGATCACTGGGTTCGGGTTTATATCTGAAACCCTGACCATGCTAACATTTCGCGAAATATCATTTTTAGATTGGGCGACTAAGACCACCAAGAAGTTGAACTTCAAACTTTATAAGCCTTTCAAAATTCGATACGTAGCCTAGCGTGTTTAGATGTGCCCTGTAGACTTCGACCTTAGAATTTTTGTGATAAACAATAACCCAATAAATAATGCTTTATATAAATGTACATTTACAATTTGTAACTACTATTTACAACAGTCAACGCACATGCGGAAGAGATCTGCATTGCGCCACCTACTCTGCTAATTATTTATAAACTCCCGTAATAGTCGGTAACAGACTCTCTACTGACAAATTTGTAAGCTATTACTAAAAAATTGAAGCCATGTATAACGTGAGAACTCAATAAACTCTTTCAATTCTCTATACCCAGATGGTTAGCGAAAAAGGGACAATACCATTAAATTTTTAGATAATTACCGGGGTAATTTCTTTATAAAACTTTTTTAATTGATCATGATGAGATTCTAAATATCCTTTTTGCGTACTTCAACGTCGGTCTCGTGTACCCTTTAACAGTTAATGGCACCCGACTAAATGAATTAAGGTTAATTTCGTCATATAGTCTATCAAATTATATTAAAATTATGAATAATAAAATGACAATATGAAAGTTATTGAGGGATAAGTGTAGCGTGTCTGAATTATGTATAGTAAATAATGTATATTTACAAAATATATATAAAAATCAAACAAATGTGATAAATGGTATTTCCATATATGTGTAAAGTGACCTATTTTTAACAAAATATTAATTTTTTTAATTAGTAATCTATTAATGTTAGCGAAAATTTTTTATTATTCGGTTTGCTGTTATTTTTTTCAGCAAACATAATATCTTATCATTGGTTGAAATTCTTAATTTAAATTTAGCAACATTCGGGTTATAGGAAACTTTTGTTTGGCGTTTTGCTTATTTTTGTACTGTATTTTGGCGTTCAAAATTTAAATTTTATTATTTATAGTTTTTGTGTTAAAATTTTAAATATTTTTAGTATTTTTCGTATAAAAATATCAATCCTGCTAGCGTTCTCGATAAAACTTTTATTTAACTTAGTGGACGAGCGACTTCTGTATAAACAGAATTTATAACAAGTTTGGCTTATGAACGTATAATTCAAAAGTACAACTACTATTAATAATGCTTCGTTTGTGCCTTATATTTCGTTAAAAGTTTATATACTGCATCTCGAATAGCTTCACACCAGTAATCTGCAGGGCAGGAAGATTGAACTGTTTAAAAATGTATCGGGTCATGTTACATAGCATTTGCATGCCATTTTTGCATAGCATATAATTGTGGTGGTTTTTTAATATGGTGCTTAGAATGATTTCTTTCCTGTTTAGTCCTACTTCAAGAGCCTCAGAAGGGCAGATAATGTATTGTTGTTAAGCTTGAGGTTTTTAATATTGTAGTTTCTGGTCAAATCAGTTAACTTGCTTTAAAATTCATCTTACCTTTATAGAATGTGTTTGGATTTTGCGTCTTGTAACCCTCGTAAGAGTGGACATTTTGTCCCGATGTCAATGGAAGGTAATTGCTCAAGTTTGTGGTCTTCGTGAGTCGCACAAACTCATTGGTTTTTTATGAATTTTGCATTTAAAGCATATTTAGCATTGTTTAGTCGCGAAGGGTTGCATATTAGAAGCATAGGTTTAAGTTTTGGTTACTAAGCCTGTATATGTAATGCTCTTTGGGTATTTTAATTCGCAGTTTGTGTAA